GATTTTCGCCCAGATTTTTGCATTATTCATTTATTTTTTCAACCGTTTTTTATATTAAAAATAAACACTGACACTTTCGCAGATTATTTGGAAAAATAAAAACCCAAAACGATGAGAATCCTTGAGAAATGCTACATCCACACTTCTTTTGTAAAGGGTTGAATCTTAAAACCGATATTTACATTCATGGATGAATATCATTGTCACTATTGCCAAGCTTTTATCTTCAACTGTGTCTGACTTTGCGGTGGTTTAGGTGTTCTGCTCTACGGCCCGCCCGGCTGTGGGAAGACTCTTATTGCCAAGGCGACAGCCAAAGAGGCGGGCTTTCGGTTCATCAACCTGCAGCCGTCCACATTGACTGACAAGTGGTACGGCGAATCCCAGAAGCTGGCGGCCGCCGTCTTCACACTGGCTGTCAAACTGCAGCCGTCGATTATTTTCATCGATGAGATAGGTATGCGTTGAAATTACATCCTTTTGGATCGGAAAATGCACAACATTTTGATTTTGTAAAGCCTAGTGAAATCAAATGGTTTGTTCTCCTTTAGACTCGTTCCTGCGCAGCCGCTCCAGTAATGACCACGAGGCCACAGCCATGATGAAAGCCCAGTTCATGAGTTTGTGGGACGGCCTGGACACCGACTACCACTGTCAGGTATGCGCTAGTAGTTGTACACCCAGGTTGTAGACGGCGCCAGATTCGCCCCAGCTCAACCCGACTAGCCACCCCTCCCAAGTCCAAGCTTCTGCATTTTGGATTAGTGATTGAGTCAGAAAGTCACTTTCAGTGGAACTCTTTACGGCATATTGCCAATTTTGAGTTCAAACCACAAATGTCTAATATGTGATGTATTTAAATAGTCGACTTTTGTGTGGCAGTTTTCTCATCCCCCATTGTGTTCTTTCTTTTTTTCCTTCCATATTCATTTATCTCTCTGTCTGTCTTTGTCTCACTCTCTCTCGCTCTCTCTCTAGGTAATCATAATGGGCGCTACCAATCGTCCTCAGGACCTGGACTCTGCCATCCTCAGGAGAATGCCCACCAGGTTCCACATCAACCAGCCCGTAAGCAGCACACACAAAACCAGACAACGCAGTGAAACCATTGATGGGAGTTTATTGGTCATGAAGTAAAATCGCGAGTGCCCATTCAACTCTCTCCCTCCCGTATCCTTCCAGGGCGTTGCTCAGAGAGAGCAGATTCTCAACCTGATCTTGGAGAATGAAAGTGTAAGTCAAACATGTCAAGACAAAAAACAGAACTCACTTTAACATTGGGTGTTTCTCGTATGCTGGGACCTCTTCCAGGTGTACAGTGAGACGCAACGTCAGAGGCAAAACTTCCTTAATTCCTTCTTTTATAGCCTCTTGTTTACCAACCACAAGGCGTCATTTGACCCATGCGACAGGTCACATCGCCGAGTGATATTTGAATGTCGCTCAAAGAGTGTGTGGGGGGTGTGTGTGTGTGTCTCAGGTTGAGGAAGCGGTGGACCTCTCCGATATTGCGCAGGACACCGAAGGCTTCTCAGGAAGTGACCTCAGAGAGATATGCCGCGACGCCGCACTGCTCTGCGTCCGAGACTTTGTGCACACGCAGAGAAACGACAGGTACCGTCACATGACCCCCCCCCCACACGCCACATGACCAACCGCTTGTCGTTTCAGCTGGCCTCATGGAAATGTGCAGTCAAAAATTATGTTAGTTTTGGTGAAAAAACAAAGTTCAGGAAGTAGAGCAAAGGGAGGGTTGCTGGTTTGGTATCCTGGCAAAACTTCCAGATGTTGTGCTTTTGGGTGGGTCTATTTACATTTTACTATTTACCCCCCCCCCCCCTCCTCTTCTGTGTCTGTCTGTCTCTCTCATGTCCTTTCTGTCTGCCTATCCACGTCTCGCCCAACAGTCCCACGGAGGACTACATCCGGCCCATCCAGCAGTTGGACCTCCAGAAGGCCATCAGCAAGATGCGCAAGTCCAAGTCCGCCGCGGGTCAGAACCCCCTCACGCACATTGCGTTGGACTGAAAACACACACACACACACATGTAAGATTTATTTTGTCATTTCATAATGTAAGTTGATAAACTATTTACAGATCATAGATCATTTTACCAACGCATATGGGGAGGTTGTGCCAGTTTCTTTCTGACCTCCGAGTTCCTTCGAGCTTCGTGTTTTAGACCATGTTGTCCGCGACATGAATGCCAAGAAAGTGGATTGCAACTTGGTGTATTGACAGTGTATCAGGATATCTACGGTGTCAGGATCTGGAACAAAATAAAGGATCAAACGTACAGTAAAGCATTTTTTAATATATATATTTTATTCCTCCCGAGAGATTAGTAATTTAAGCCACTGCGGTCTCACTCAAAATAGTGTAGTGTAGGATGGACTATATGCAAAAAGATATTATTTCCCGGTCCTACCTCACATCGCAACGGCATTGTGGAAATTTGAAACGATAAAACTTTCAGTTAGTGTAATTGAAGGCCACAAATGAATGGCAGAAACCTTCCAGTAATGACAAAAAATGTATATTGCCAAAGTAGTTCTAGTGACGCATGGAGAGGAAGGGTTGTATGTTTGGCATGCTCGTGACACATGGTATGCTATTATCATTTCACCTATTGAAGACTCACTGCTATGAAAGCTAAGCCTAATGGGACGTATTAGAAATCTGTAAATAACGCAAGATTGTGGGTACAAAGAAACGCTTGTCGTGGAATTACCTGCTAGACTTCATACAGACGCAGGACACACGGATGTTTGAGTTTGTCATGAAACATGATGTACTGTATATGATACACTTAATTCATTTTCTTCTCAGCTATTCATCCTCTTTTGCTAAAATGTCCAGTCCCGAAATATTGGTCACATTCGTGCTAAAGTTTTTGTAGCAGAAAATCTGTAAATGTGTGGTATTTCCATGAAGTGTACTTTTGTTTGTTTTTTACGTTCCGTGTTTGAATGATCTAGGTTAAGAAATGTCATCTTGCTGTTTTCAGGTAAACCCATACACTGCAGAGATCAGTCACCTGCGTCAGCAATAGCAGTTTTACCTGTCGAGCTATCTACCTGCTTGTAAATAGGTTTACATTTTAGAGGGAAGGATTTACCGGTTAAAAAACAAAGCACTTGGAAAAAAAAGTGTTAATTTTAAATTCAGCGTTGGCGGCTTTTGAGTTTCAACGGTTTAAAAGGTGTTTAAAAAAAAGCGCCTATTTCTAGTTGATTTGGAGGGTTTTAAATGCATGTGAGAAGAAAAATCTTCAATCTTTTATCTTGTGTGAAATGGGTAAAATGCCAATATGAGAATGCACTGTCAAAAGATAACTGCTTTTTATGGAGGCCTTTACTGACGTTACCTCCACAGAACCGGAGAATAGAAACATTCGAGTTAAGGTGAATTCAAGGCTTTGTTTTATTTTGTATTTTCCTTGTGAATATAATATTTAAATAAAACTATTGTTGACGTTTCATTAGTAGGCTGACATTTTCAGAATGTTTTTATATTTTTGTCATTGGGCTGGTGTGAGTTGTTTTGATTCTGATACATTAAAAATACATAAGACGCATGCATTTTGTCCAATGTGTCACTCAATTTTTTAACGGTGTCAAGGATTATTCAAATCGAGTCAGATTCATCATGCAGGGATAGCGCCTTTCTGCAAACTCTTTGTAATGGAAATAGCGATTTGGATTGGTCTTCAATTGAATTATTTTTCCCTCAAGTCACTCATTACATTTGGTTTGACTAGCAAGCTATGTAATTGTAATGCTGTTTCTACTTGTATTTGTATTGCAGTTCAGAAACTTTAGAAAAGACCAAGTTTACCTAATCAATCAAATATTTATTAAAGCTTTGAATGAAAAAAGGTGCATTTGGCATCCATCTCACAGCTACAATTTCCATAGAAAGTATACTCACACCAAAAATCAACCCGCATTATAAAAAAGGTAGCTACTTTGCTAATGATTTCAAAGCAATATAGCAAATGCCAGTGTTTAACTGCCCACGCACTCAAATTACCTGTTGAATAAAGTAAATAAAAAATAAATTACATAACAGTATTGTATAACAATTGAATAACCATACAGTTGCATCCCTTCTTTACAAGTGCAATATGAATAATGCGTGTATGTGTAAATAGGAATTTCACTAAACCAGTCGAAAGGAAAACTAATTCAAGAAATCCTCAAGTCAAATCCCACAATATTTCAATACAAAAAATCAAAGATTAAATTACCCATACCATAAATATAAAGCTTCCTCTTTATCAACAAAATGGACCCTGCAGCCTTAAAAATGTAAGTTAAAAACTTGTATCATGAATCATGATGGAGGTGTTCGTTGACCTTGTTACGTTTCATCAAAAAGGTTACCAATTCTGTACCATGAGAGATCAAACTTAAAGTAATCATGTGGATTTTCATGTAAACAAATGTCTGTTAAGTCACTATCGCCGAACGAGGTGGCGGTGGCGACATCTGCAATTACTACAATTACTGTCGTGTGTTTGCAAAACCGGCTGCCATATAATTCCCCTTTGAAGTTCACTCATAATGGCATTGACCCGGGGCAACCCTATCGGCGAGCCGAGAGCCTTCTATAGTTCAGTGTTTCCATGGTGACCATGATGATGCTGTGGCCGGTTTCCGACCTCGCACTCCCTTTGGGAGTCGCACCCCTCCAGCAGCTCTCGGTACCTCTGGCGAACATCCTGGTACAGGGGCACCTCCTCCCCCGCCGTCAGCCCCGGGAACCCAACCGGCGTCTCGTTCAGGAGGAACTGGAGGCGGGGCCCGGCGGGACACTCGTACAGGACGAACAGCATGTTGGCAGCGTAGGGGACGATCCTGCTCGTCCGGAAACTTCTTCCTGAAAGAAAAAGAAAGGAGGGGGGGGGACAGGATAATATAATATTTAATAAAATATACGCCATTTTGTGGACACTTAATCCAAAGCGTCTTACAAAACAGTGCATTTATTTTTAGCATGGGCGGTCCCCGGTGGGATTCGAACCCCTAACCCTGGCTGGTGTTAATGCCGTGCTCTACCAGTTGAGCTAGTCATGTTTAAAACTAGTTGTAAAGTTTATTGTTGTTCGACTTACTGCTATGATTATATTTCTGATTATTAATATTACCATTTGTGATTAGGTGCCGTCATTTAAATGATTTTAATGTCCTATGTCAGACATTGACATTTCCATTCAAAACCCTTTTTTGAAATATACACTAATAATGAAAGACACTACAATGGAAAGGCACACAAACCAGGCAGCAACATAACGATTTTTGAATGATCTAAAAACTATTATAGTATAATAAAAGACAGAGACACTACCATGCTGTGTGGAGTAGTTGTCTGCGGTGGGCTGCGACGGGTCCTTGTAGAGGCCCAACAGGGTCAGGAGGGGGAGCAGCGTCTCGCCGTGGCCCACCTGGACTCGCACCGCCTCCGGCAGCTCCTGGCCCAGCCTGGGTGGAGGAGACCAACACGCACGTTGATGACAAGCAGACAAACACATGAGATGTTGAGGAGGGTTGCATCACCCACAGCAGTCTTTTTGACTCCCTGGAGGGGGAAAACAATATTTTATTTAATATTTTAGGGGAGGGGCGGGGGGAGAGGGAGACTAAATGTGGAAACAGTTTTCCTTTGTTCATTTCTTGTGTTTTCACCAGCATTTGACCACCGACGTCTGGATCACGTCACAATTCCACCTCATATGTTGCCCATATACACTGCAACACAAAAACCAGTGTTTTGTTTATTCTTCCACTTCAGAGACTTTGATCTAAAATCTGTGTTTTTGGTGGTGGAAAAAACACTGGGTTGCTGTAGATCTGATTTTGAATGAATCATAAAAAGTAGTTAGTGTGGAAAAATGTTTGACACACAGCTTTACTCTGCACAAAGTAACCTAAATCTATAGCTAATATATAGCTACATTTTAAGAATTAATTCACAACTGCCACGAATGATTAATCACTTGACATGACTGAGTCTGTCTGAGTCTCACTCCACTCGGGCACAAAATATGCAGGTTGTGCAACAAACTGGCAACCACTCGAGGGGGCGTGTGTTCGAGCAACAGCGGTGTTGCGCCGTGAATACAATGGCAGGGGGAAGGGGCAGTGTGACTGTAGAGCGTGTGTGTGGTTGATGGTTGATTTACAGCCTCACCTGGCCCGAGTCAGACTGATGGGACTCTGCGGCTGGGTGGGGCTGCACACCTGTGGTGCAGAGTAATCACACCCAGGATAAACCAGCTACCACCACACACACACACAAGAGAGCTCTGTCATGACAGCATGTGCCACCTGCTCTAGCTATACCATCTCCAATAAACCGGTTTATCACCCAGCCCCAGAGTCTAATCAGTCTGACTAGGGCTAGATGAGGCTATTTTAAACCAGCCATCACACACACACACACACACACCTAGTGGCTGAATGTTTTCAATAGCATCCACATAGTGCAGACGAAAGCGAGCAAGAGAGAGAGAGAGAGTGAAGGACCTGAGATGTTGCACGGCCAGCTCCAGCCTATCGAACAGGTCATGGAACAACACGCAGCTGGACCTGCTGTTGATGCTGTGGCCGTGACCCCTCTTCCAGTACTGCTTCAGGTCATTCTTATACTCCAACACCTGAAGAGAGACAGGGAGGCAGAGAGAGAGAGACATGACTTCGGATTACGGCCTCTTCAGACCATCATCTGCTTAGCTTATTTCTGTACTTGAATCGTTCTGAATGCATCTCTGTGCTACAAGCAATTTATACATTTCTATACCCAACTTAGAAGAATCCTGCAATTGGCACTTTGCATAAAATATCTTACTTTCACTCGACTAGTGGCAGAGGTCACCGACTTACGTGTGGAAATCGACAACCATTCCCTCAAAATATGTACAACATATATTTGTGGAGTGTGTGTGGTTGATGGCAGGTTTAAACAGCCTCACCGGTCCCCTAGACTCAGACTGATTAGACTCCGGGGCCGGGGTGAGGCTGCACACCTGTGGTGCATTGGGGTAATCGAGGCACCCAGGATAATCCAGCTATCGCCACATTAACACTCAGGGGAGCCTCTGTCATGACAGCATGTACCATCTGCTCTGGCTTATAACACCTTGCCAATAATCTCTCCAATAAACTGGTTTATACCACATCTACCTGTGTGCCGGAGGAGCCCAGCAAAGCCACTTAGGTGGCGTGTGGAGCGTGGCGTCCGTCCACTGCCCCGATATTATAAACATAATGATGACTACGACACAGTATGCGATCCGTCTAACAGACGTCATGGTGGTGTACGATCCCCGCGGTACCTACCTTGGCATCTTTCAGGTCAAAGAGGTGGCACCAGGGTGTGTGCAGGGACTTGATGGCGAACTCGTAGGCACACAGGAAGAACGCCGCCTCCACCATGTCTGAGGGGGGGGAAGGGGGGGTGACTATTAATTTGTGTGTCAGTTGCCGTCTAGCCGATGCCAAGCACCACACAGTTCATTCAGAGTGACGCACATCGTCGAGGAGCAGGGAGAGGTCAGGAATCTTGTTAAAGGATGCCTAGGTGGAGGACACTCGGGATCGAAACCCAGAACCTTCCAGATGGAGTCAAACATCCTAGCCCTCTAAACGCCCCACGTCTGCATGACGTCGCCTGCAACAGCGTCTAACGTGTTATTAGTGATAACAACAATGTGCTTTGTGAACGCTGTTTGTGAGAGGTCTGCTCCCCCTTTGACACCGTTCTTTTTGTTTGCCATTGTGGGAATAGAGTCAGTGTCCCTACAGCCACACAACCTTTAAAAAATTTTTAAAAAAGGGTTTAAGGCCCAACCTGGCGTGATCCGTTCGTACGGCACGTTGAGTTGCCGGGCCACCTTCCCCCGGACCTCTCCCATCTCCGGCCCCTCTTTGAACTTCTTCACCTCCGCCAGGGCGGTCTTGTTGTTCTCCACGCCTTCCACGAAGCCGGGGCACCACTCGAAGAAACGCATGAGTTCGTCGTTCACCTCGTGGCGATACCACGCCTCTGGACGGGAAAAGGGGGGGGAGAAAGAAGGCATGCATCGCGTCAGGATGGGAGCTTCGGTGTAGGGAGGTCCACTCCCAACCAGGGCTTGAAAACGAAATTATTTTTCAATCGTTCCGCTCCGAACGGAACCGGTATATTTAACGTTTTCGTTCTTGCGTTCCGCCACCAACATATCGTTCCTGAACCGGTTTGGAGCGTAAAATAACGTTCGTTCTTAACGTTCCGGCAGTGTTATTGGGCCTAGTCTATTTTTGTGGTCGATACCTTACAATAGACCATAATAGTTATTGGTATATAACCAGGGTGGTGGTGGGAATTTGTGACAGCTGAGCTTAGCGGGCGGCGAAGCAACCGGAATTTTTTTTTTCTCATGAAATAGGCTTTGCTTTTGTGAAATTTTATAGGCTATATAGAGAACAAAAAAAAAACGTTATTAACCGGTTTTGGGGATTTCAGAATAACGTTTCTGTTCCGGAACAGTTGAAGACCATTTGGTTTTCGTTTCCGTTTCCGTTCCTCGCAAAATTCCGTTTGTTTTCGGTTTTCGTTTTCGTTCCTTGAACCGGTTCGGAGCCATGCTCCCAACCTAAGCGTCTTTTGTGTTTCGAACCCCCGATGTCTACAGATATGCTTGAGCAAGATGCCTAACTGTAATCTGCTCATTAGTGTGACGTATCTAATAAAAACGGCACTGCATGTCCCTTTGGATAAAAGTGTCTGCTAAATAACGAAAGCAGTAGCAGTTAAACTAGAGAGAGAGAGAGAGAGAGGGAGAAATATAGGGGTGTTTTCTGCACAGTTTTGGTAGGAGCTCTTGGCTGTCTCCTCACCCTCCAGCCCCCAGTGCCGGTGCAGTCCCTGTTGAAAGGCCTCGACGCTGTCCACGCAGCGGTGCTTGGAGCTGGTCTGGAAGCGGACCCGCTGGCGCCTCAGGTTCTCGGCGCTGAGCAGCGAGGGAAACAGCTTGGCCAACCGCACCGCCAGATGTCTGTGGTCGTCTCTGCCCTTCTCCACCAGTTTGCCTGCGAGGGGGACAGAGGTGGACATGCACGCATGCATGCACGCAATGCATTTTTAGAGGACGATCATGCAAATATGATGATCAT